TTACTACACACCGCACAGGTACTCATTTGAGGCCGAGTCGGCCTAGGGGAGGCCCAGGACCGGTTCAGAGATCGTCACCGGTGTTGTTGGCGTGAGCGGGAATCGAACTCGGGTCGCCGGTTCGTAGCGCAAACGCGCTAACCGCTGCGCCACCGCTCCCCACCACATGCTACAAAGACAAAGATCCCCGTGTAGCCTTAACAGACTGCAGGGCAAGTGCTGTTAGCGAACACCTACAAAGGCCGGCACGGCACACGAGGGGGTGGGTTGCCAAGCACCACGCCCCGGCCGCCCTTTGTCTCCCCAGTGGCGATGTTTACTACACACCGATACACCAGGTTACTCATTTGAGGCTGCGTCGACCTTAGGGGTGGATCGTCGAGAGACCGGCCACTGTTATTGACGTGAGCGGAACTCAAACTCGGGTGCTGCTGAATTTGGAGCACAGCGTGGCATCGCTAAGCCAGTGACGATTGTCTGAACCGGTCCTGGGCCCCTAGGTTGACTCGGCCTCAAATGAGTACCTGGTGTAGCGGTGTGTAGTAAACTCGCCACCGGGGAGACAAGGCGGTCGGGCGTGGTGCTGGCCACCCACCCCTCGTGTGCCGTGCCGGCCTTCGTAGGTGCTGCTACTCGCTAAACAGCACTTGCCCCTAAAGTCTGTTGAGGCTACACGGGGGAACTTTGTCTCGTACGCATCTGTCAGCTTCGGTTTGGCAGCGGAGGTCTCACTCCGAATCAGTTGGGTGGCATTATCTATTCATCAGCTGCATAACGCTGGTGGAAGCTACCTGGTCCGTCACTCCGCACGAAGTACGAGTCTTCTCGGCCACGGTCATGCCCTCCCTTCTCAACGCTTGCAAATGCGGACCCCCCCCCCCCCTAATGGAACACTTAAAATGGCTGGCCCTGCCTGCAGGCTGGATTGTGTGAAGAGCTCACAAATCCTTGAAGATTGGACACAGTCCCATCAGGGAGCTCCTCCGGCATGCCCAGCCACCGCCAGCACCGCCCCATGCCCAGCCACCGCATGCCCGGCCACCGCATGCCCGGCCACCGCATGCCCAGCCACCGCATGCCCAGCCACCGCATGCCCAGACCGCATGCCGGCCACCGCATGCCGGCCACCGCATGCCCGGCCACCGCATGCCCGGTCACCGCATGCCCCGGCCACCGCATGCCCAGCCCCGCATGCCCGGCCACCGCATGCCCGGCCACCGCATGCCCGGCCACCGCATGCCCGGCCACCGCATGCCCGGCCACCGCATGCCCGGCCACCGCATGCCCGGCCACCGCATGCCCGGCACCGCATGCCCGGCCACCGCATGCCCAGACACCGCATGCCCAGCCACCGCATGCCCCAGCCACCGCATGCCCGGCCACCGCATGCCCGGCCACCGCATGCCGGCCACCGCATACCCGGCCACCGCATGCCGGCCACCGCATGCCCGGCCACCGCATGCCCGGCCACCGCATGCCCGGCCACCGCATGCCCGGCCACCGCATGCCCGGCCACCGCATGCCGGCCACCGCATGCCCGGACACCGCATGCCCAGCCACCGCATGCCCAGCCACCGCATGCCCAGCCACCGCATGCCCAGCCACCGCATGCCCCAGCCACCGCATGCCCGCCACCGCATGCCCGGCCACCGCATGCCCGGTCACCGCATGCCCCGGCCACCGCATGCCCGGCCACCGCATGCCCGGCCACGCATGCCGGCCACCGCATGCCCGGCCACCGCATGCCCGGCCACCGCATGCCGGCCACCGCATGCCCGGCCACCGCATGCCCGGCCACCGCATGCCCGGCCACCGCATGCCCGGCCACCGCATGCCCGGCCACCGCATGCCCGGCCACCGCATGCCCAGCCACCGCATGCCCAGACACCGCATGCCCAGCCACGCATGCCCCAGCCACCGCATGCCCGGCCACCGCATGCCCGGCCACCGCATGCCCGGCCACCGCATGCCCGGTCACCGCATGCCCGGCCACCGCATGCCCGGCCACCGCATGCCCGGCCACCGCATGCCCGGCCACCGCATGCCCAGTCACCGCATGCCTCAGTCACCGCATTCTCAGCCACCGCATGCCCAGCCACCGCATGCCCCAGCCACCGCATGCCCGGCCACCGCATGCCCGGCCACCTCACGCCCGGCCACCGCATGCCCAGCCACCGCATGCCCAGTCACCGCATGCCCGGCCACCGCATACCCGGCCACCGCATGCCCGGCCACCGCATGCCGGCCACCGCATG